CAGGGAAAAAGTCATTTTCAAACCAAACCCCAAACACCCCCCCAAACTGGACTGGTGTCAGAGTTTGCTTGTGGACATAGGCACCAAGTACATGGGGGCCTGAGGGCCCTGGCACTCTTCGGATAGAGGATAGGATGACCACCCATCCCTAATTGGGTGGAACAGTCCCAAAATGGGAACATTAAATCCCAGTCCTAGGCTGCATGACTCTGAGACAGTACCTGTCCTGGATTCCAGGACAAAACCCCTACACCCCTTCTTTCCCCTACAACAGACTTACCAGCCAGACGCTGCTGTCCATGCTGTTGGACTGCGCTGCAGCTGCATACATGCACACGGAATTTATTGGTAACATTATTGGCCACATCAGCCAAAAAAGCCAGTTGCCACTAATGTCAGCTTTCCTTTTATTGATGCCGATATGATATCAGTGCACATTTACTATTTTTGTTCTCTAGTCAAAAATCAAGTGAAAACTAAGAGCTGGCATTTTCCAAGGGGGGCCTTGAGTCCATTGTAATAGAAGTTTGAAGGAGGAATGGGGAGGTGACAATGAGGCAGCTTTGTGCATTTTAATGGGGAGCTGCTCCCATGCATGCAGGTTAATATATGAAAAAGAGTGAAAATGGTTTTGGAAAAAAAATTTAAAATGGGCAATCAAGACTAGTGTTATTTAAAAAAGGAGCGTGGGAATTGACTGCATAGGAGATAATAGATCATAGAGAGATGTCAGGTGCCTGGAAAGCAGAGAGAAAAGGGTTTGAAGTAAATTCAGTGAATATAGAGAAGTTGGGGCTGAATGTGAAGAGGATTTGAGAGAAATCCTGAACAGAAATTGAGATTTGAAGCATGCTTCTATTTATTAATAAGAAATTTGAAACTACAGGATGCAGTGCATGTGGTTCTGATTATGTGATGCCTTTTCAGTATTTAATGATTATATTTGTCAGCAGCTGGAACTAGCCAGTGCCTGAAATTTTTGAATGCTGTCATGCTGTAGGTATGCTATTCCAGTGTGTTTACACTGAAAGGAGGTCAGTAATTAAAAAACAAACAGTTTGAAAGTTTGGAGCCTGTGCAGTTCCCACTGACCTCAAACTACTGAATACCACACATTTTACCAGCCCTCTAGCTTGGAGGTGGGTCACACTGAATGTCTAGTCTCATTTCAAGCTCCTCTCATTAGATTTTTTTTCCATGTCAAGTAGTTTGCCAAAACATTCCATCTCATCTTGCTCAGTTTGCTGTTGATCAGGAACAGTAAACGTCTTTATTTTAATTGCCATTTGCTTTCCCTAATTGTGAACAAGGCAGTTCAAGCAGTTATTAGTTTTAAGAAAGCAGAAGTATGTTATGAAATCCGAAACATACTGCAGCCTGTAATGAATGAAGTCTGTTGTCAGTAGGAAGAAAAAGCACCTGTGAAAAAGCACAAACTAGCTGTTGCTGGTATACTCTTCACAGCTGATTAGTTTTGAACCTTCATCTTGGTCTACAAATCATCTGCTTCATACTTTTTTTTGTCTTGCTGTTTTTTGGGGATAGAAGCACAAGTAGGTATATAAAATTGATGCAACTGTGATTCTTTTTCTCAGCTATTTTCCTTTTAAGGCCCTAGTCCTACAAACGGTTCTGCAACAGAGTAATACTGTGTACATAAGTTGTCCCTTTCCAGTTAACGGTGGTATTCACATGCAGAAAGTTGCATGGGTGAATTAGTATTGGCAGGATCGGTGCTTTTATTGAGCAGTGCAGAACAAACAGTATGGAGGTGGAGCCGGATTCTGCAAGTTATGGTGCTAAGTATTTGTGGTTCACCCACATGAATACAGATTTGGCCTGGTCAACTCGGGCCATATATTCACATCTGAAGGAAAAATAAGTAAAACTACAAGAAAGATCTTTATTTTGAAGACTTAGGGATAATAATTATGAGCTAAGAACCTGATCTCCTAATCAAGACAGGTGCTGAGTAAACCTATTTCTTTGTCTTTAAGTGGAAGATGTAGTTGCTTAGGATCTAAAGGTCTGATCTAGTTCCATTGGAGCCTGTGGGATTCTGTTCACTAACTTAAGCAGTTGCTAGATCTTGGTTTGCATATAGAGGCAGTCCTCAGACTTACAGCACAAGTGGTTCCTGAAAACTGCATCTTAAGTTGCAATGTTATAATTCGGAACCAATTTCCCCATAGGAACAGTGTTACAAATGGGGGATTGGTTCCTTTACGACAGTTGATACAGTTGCGTGCAGCTGGTAAGTGTGTTGTGGTAGAAGGGGAGGAGGAAGGGAAGAGGTGTGGGGGTGCAGATCAGTGTCCCCCGCGGTGAGGGAGGGACTGAAGCTGGGACCGGGGCTGGGATGAGCACTCCCAGGCGGGCTCAAGGAGGGGCTGGCGGTGGCTCCTGCCGCTGTGCACTGCTTGTCTGGTGGCTCAACCAATGGTTCCCGCTGCTGGTCTTGGAGGGCATGGGGGGGGGGGCGTGTGCCCCCAGATCTGTGCGGGGCAGAGCTGAGGCTGCACCGGACTGTGCTCCAGGCAGAAAGCAGTGACGCTGGGAGCGGTGACTATGCCCTCCCACCGCTGGGGCAGGGCATGTATGGGATGGAGCTGCTGCACTGCCTCCAGAAATGTGGCGTGCCCCCCGGAAGAGCCGCGGCTTTGTTCCGTGCCCGCCTCGTCCCTGCTGGGTGAGTGGTAGGAGGGCATGGGGGTTGTGTGCCCCTGGATTGAGGCAGGGTGGGTGGTGGAGCGGGGGCTATGCAGGGGCTGCAGCCACCCAAAAATTCCCCTTGACACCCTCCCCCCCTCCCCCG